AGTAAATTTGGTCCCCTAACTCAACCCTGAGTTTAATCTATCCCTATCCCGAACGTAACCATAATATCTCCCTAGTATAGATTAACGTAACCCTAACCTGTCCCTAGCCAAGCCTAACCTTAAGCTGCCAGATATCTCTGTTTACTATAGGGTGGCTTTACTGCATATCCCCCGCTAGTTGTAGCACCGTAGTGCATTTCTATGGTGGTTTAATGACGAGTTAATTATTTTATGCTTTTTAAGTGAAATTTCACATTAAAATTTTTCTCTAGATGTTCATAATATCAGCAGCAGAATATACTTGAACTGCGTTACATTTGCTGTACCCGTACCAGAAAATGTCGCTTTATATTGATATCCGAGCAATGTAATTGATTAAAAGAGGTAGTAAGTTCAGAATTTCAATGTATATTTTTGACTTTTGATGAAATCATACTTTATGTTCGGGCCTATTTATTGAAAATCAACAATACCCACTGGACAAAGCAGGTGGCGCCATCTGAAAACAGGGATATGTCGTATAATCACCCATTTACTGTATTCAACACTTTTTTCATAAATAATAAGGTGTTATTTACTTGGTCTCAACTTCTTGCCCGAACTGAGCGTTTCAAGGTCATTGGTGTGTTCGCTAGGTATCTAAGGCACACAAAAGCCACTTGACAATGACTCCTACTTTGCTCATGTGACTCAGAAAAAAGCTATTAGGCATAATTCTGACCTTCTTAACTGGTTATATATATATACATATATACATCCCGGGGATATGACGACAACTTTTTTGAACAGCAGTGTTACCGACACTGGAGTAGTGACTTTAAGAGCCAACCTGGATACTAAACCTACAATTGTTGATATTAGATATCTCATATTTGCGTTAACATTGCTGATCAGGGCAACGTATGCGGTCTCATATATTTGATATGTGTCTCACGGTAAACGAAATGTAGCTAAGCTCTATTCAAATACATTTGAATAAATGTGTCGAAATACTAGTTCATACATAGTCCTATGTCTTTTGAATGACTCAGCAACATGCCACTTACTTTCAGTAATTGATATATAATAAATAAAGTGTCAACTACTATGGCTAGGTAATTTCTTTTTCTAGTCACATTAGCAAAATGCGAGCTTATGATAAGCGGCTCATATGTAGTAGCTAGGATAACTTTAGCAAACATCAACAACAATTGTGTCTAACATCTATGGTAATTCAATTTTAGATTTTCCCGTCGATTGATTGAACCGAAGTGCTCAGTCTCAGGTTGACATCTCGGCTTCTTGTGCAGATGCTTCGACGATGTCTGCGCATGCATGTAATTAGAATTTAATTGGTGGATGGTGACTAGCAGTGGAATCCAGGACAACTCGCATTTCGTCCTATTTGGGACTCGCCAGTCAACTGGATGTACCTGCATTCCGCAGTGAGTAATGGTGTTCCCACCGAGGCTTGAACACAGTGCCCATAAATTCAAATGCCAAAGCGTTTGAACTTCTAGTTACATAACCAGCCATCGTCGAAGCATCTGCACAAGAAGCCTACATTTTAACATGAGACCGCGCACTTCATTCAGTCCAATCAATCGACGGGAAAATCTAAAATTCAATTAAAGTAATTAATATGACCCGTTGCACAAGAGACAGTGGCTCTCGTGGCCTAAGTGGTCTAGTGGATAACGCTTTGGCGTTTGAAACCACGGGCACTGGGTTCGAGCCTCGGTGCTGGGATCATCATCACTCACTGCGGAAACTATGGTAAGTTTATCAAAACTAGGATGGGCATTAAAGTCGCTACAGCATTGCGACTGACATTAAACGACATGTCGATGAGCCATTCAAAACACATAGGATTATGAGGGAACTAGTATTTGGACACATTTATTTTAATGTATTTGAATAGCCGAGCAGCATGCCGGTTAATTTTAGTTCTCCACTGGCGGTAACATTGTTACTGATACGGATGTCCACACATAAACTGTATACATAAAACCAGTTGATTAGGTCAACATTGAGGCTAGTCATATTTCTTTCCGACTCCCATAATCAAAGTATGAGTGTTCGATTGAGGCGCTTAGCTAGAGTTAAAACGTTGATTATGAATCTAACATATAGGAAATGCTCAGAGAAGGTCAGGAATCGCTAGATTCACTTCATTCTACCTTCCTAAACACGTCTCATTTTTATCCTATCCTCAACACACAGTCCTCAATTGATATGCAACATCATACTATCAAACCTTCATTTTGTTGAAATTGAGATTATTCAACCACCACCTACACAATAAAACAACAATGTGCATTTCGTTAGTCAACTGACACATACACAATTTTAGGATTAGTAGCCTTGATACTTTTATATATGCGCAGATAGATAGGTGGTTAGGGTGACCTGTGGTTGTAATAATCCATTGGAAAATGAATGGGTGTTTAACACGCACACTAGTGTGTGTGTATTATATCACTGATCAATAGTATTTTATTTCAATTCAATCCTTATCAAACACACGCTTTATTCATCATTGGCAATGATGAGCGTAGCATAGACACACCATTTAGTAAAACAGACATAAATAACATAGATGAGAATGAGAGGTGTGTGTAGGTAAGACACACGTATAAAACAATAAGATTGAATGTGTAAACTGTGATTATATTCAAAAATGATCTTTAGAATAGATGAAAAAAGAAACACAATTATTATTTCACAATGAACCAAGATACTACTACTACTTTTCTTCGCATTTCTGTTTATCATCCAGTATATACATAAGAAACAGCTAAAAATAGACAGTCACAAGAAGTAGTAGAGATGGTGAGCGTTTAGTTCTAGAGTATATATTTGTTGTTACGTAGGTCTCTCTTAACTGACTTACCTACTGGATATTGATTTTTCTTTTTTAGCACATTTATTAGCCAATCATATAACAGTATTTTAGGCGTTCTAAAATATATGCACATTGATTCTTTGATGAATAAGGATGACAGTATACACCCTGTGTGAATACTTTACTTTTTAATACAAGAATCATCCAATTAACTTTGAAGATTTGATTATGTTATGTAGGCACAACAAAGTCCTAAACATGCAAACGTTAATAGTATTAGTATAGGATTGGTAATCTGTTTCACTAATTAGACAAATAACTATGTAAAATAAAATTTAAAGTAACAAAACTCTCTCTGTATTTGGTGTATTGTTGGTGAATAACTGACTCTCTATTTTATGATGAAAGAATGCGTTGTAATTACACATTAATCATTAATTACATTAATTTCTGGTATGCAGATAAACTGTAGCAACACAAGAATTTCTTGATATATACACACCAAATTAGATGCATAGAAAACAAAAAACAAAAAAATACGCGTGTTGATACTTCATAGTTCACATTGTGAAGGTATAATCTGCACTTTTCTGCCAGTAATAATCATCGAAAAAGGTAGTTTTGTTGCTACAACGCATAGATCACGAGATAAGGACCTCAATTGATGATTGACTAAGAGTGGAGTGAGAACGTGCTCACCCATGTATTATGACACGACCGCATATATGAATTAAGCTGTAATTTTGAATGAGCTAATTTTATACTGAAAATAGAACTCCTGTGAAAGGCAGTAAGTCATTTGATTACCATAGAACCTAAAAATTCATCAAGAACTAACATCAGTTAAAGAACTTTTAGAAACCAGGAAGTATTGGATAGCTGTTTCGTCCTTGTTTGAGACTCTTCATCGGAATGTGCCCATGAACCCACCAAACATCGAAACGAGAATCTTCAGGTTACACGGTGAGTCCATAGACCATTCAGCCACTAGGAAACGGAATACAATGAATCACCAGTTCTAGAATCATAAAGTAAGAGACTGTAATAATACGACTCTACTCATAACAGAACTAAATATCAATTGAACAATCAAGAGCGTGACGATGTGATGTGTAGTGCAGTTTCTAAAGTCATGGAGCCTCAGTCAACATTAAATATCTATAAAATCAGACTAAATGTGATACTTTGTTGATAAGACTATGTTATTTCCCTTCAACGAAATGAACAAAACAACCTGTTATCAGAACAAACGCGTTATCACCAGAAGCCGTGTCAAACTAAACGTCAGTTACCTCATATATTAAGAAATCTACATCTAAATCATATAACCCAAAAACTATATTTAGTATATTGTAGATAATAGTTCCTAAGGCTATGGATTTTGTAAATCAATAGTTCGATGGTAGAATGTTCACCAACCCCACCTCACATGGTCCAGCTTCAATTATCGGCCGACGCAATCCTAAGCCTCGCTTAGCCGGGGTAGTAATCCCAGTAAAGACAGAAGGTTAGATGTGGAGCTAAGGATTCTACCCTGTAAAAAAAATTACACACCAGCGCTACCGAAACTTCAAACCTCAGGCCTGAAGCTGTATATGTTCCACTTGGAATTCAAAGCAATGGAAAAAGGCTCTGAAAAGCAGATTGCATTTTACGTAAAATAATCACTAAATAGTTTCAATCACGACAACATTTTGACTAAGTTTGAGGATAATTCTAGATCTATAAACCGAGACTACTAGGACCATTTCTGCTCGAATATTCACGTTAGAGTATATAACAGTTAAGACAGCATAACTCACTTACTTTATGCACCGACAGAGAATCAAATCAAAACAAACAAGCTAGTAATGTATGTATGTGTAGCTTATATAAATTGATTGTCTCATATTAATAGTAGTAATAATTTATACAAAAAAAAGTGATATTAGTAGTAAGAAATAAATAAGCAAATCGTGTAGGACAAGAAAAAGAAAATATTTTCCAAATATAAAACCAACACACACATACACAAATGAAAGATGAACAATGCAAAATTACAAAACTAAATGGATTTGTGTGGTCAATTGTTTACACTAGAAAAATAAAAAAATACAAATACAAAGGAATGATATGACAAAAGTGTTTGTAAGAAAGAAGGCAAAAACAATAAGAGACTGACTGACTGACTACTATTCTAAGAATTGACACTAGTACATGGTGGATGAGTTGGGGAATATGTCTCAGTCTGTGGTTCATGTTTCTCAGTAGTTGTTGACTCAAGAAGACAAATTTTAAGTTTTATATCATTTTCATCGATGTCGTTTGTAATTTTCGATATATCATTATCATTATTAATACTATTACTATTATTATTACCACTATCATTATTGTTAGTATTATCCATGGAGTTATTGCATAATATTTGTACTTGTTCAGCACTACCTTTATCATCATGTTTTTGGATTTGATCTAAATAATCTAAACATTCAGCTGAACTTAACTTGACAGTAAGATTTGTGCGTGGATCACAACCGGGATGTGTTAATTCAATATGACGAACAAGATGATCTTTACGGTAATACGATTTATCACAGATCTTACAAACAAACGGTTTAAATCCAACATGACGTAGGGAGTGACGTTGAAGATTCGAACGTTGAGTGAATTGAGCTCCGCATATAGTACATTTAAAAGCTTTATGAACTGAAAAAGTATGATCACATAATAAACTTAATGAATTAAACGGTTTTCGACATTGATTGCATACAAATGATTTAGCGTATCGTCGATTGAGGGAATTTGATTCTTCTGAAGAGTTAGACGATTCTTTGCTGGAATTTTTTGGAGGTGAATTAGATGGGATAGTAGTGTTAGTAGTAGTAGTAGTAGTCATAGTAGTAGTTATAGTAGTATTTTTTAATGGGGATGAAACTAGTGCTTGTAAGTTGTAATTATTAACAGGACGTGCAGGAGGTTGTTTATCAGCACATATTCGAGGTAATATAGGACGGGGTACAGTCGATAAGACGGTAACAGGTAATGAGAAAACACTAACATGAGGAAGTAGAGTAACAGCTGATACCGGCATAAACAAACCATTTGTTGTCCCACTTTTGATTGGTGTTATGACTTCAGTAATTTGTTTTTGAAGTGGAACAGGAAGTGGATTCGTTGATGTGTTGTTATTATTATTATTATTATTACTATTATTAAGTGTACTAGGGGAGGATTCGATGGGTTCAGAAATGATTGGAGTATTCTGAGGTATTTTACATGGTCGACTAAGTTTCCGTTTACGTCGTGGAATTGAAGTGTTATCATCTTTGAAAATCTCCTGATCTGTTTTAATCGGTGAATTCGGGGCTGTAGATGTATCCATAATTCCTGAGTCGGATAAATCATGATTAGGACTATCATTTTCAAATGATTGATTATTTGATTTTTCATACGTTTGATTAACAAGTAAACATTTCATCTTTTCATGATCAGCTTGATAAGCAACTAAGGCTTGAAGTTTTAAAGATTTAGAAAATGGTGGAAGAACACGTTCAATCAAGAGCTTTGTAAGCTTTCTTTCTTCAGCATTAGGTTCACGTTTATGAACAGATGTTGATGTGCTTGTTTGATTTATCAAAGGCGATAGATCTTCATCTGACAAATCCATTTTCTTAATTAATATACAATATTTAACTGAAAGTAGGAAACAAAATATGAATACCATTAAGCAAAATGATCACATGTAGTTAGATGTCATTTATCCAGGTTTCACATTAGCAAAAGTGAGCAGACATAATAATACACGAAAATAAAATATGATCCTAATTTATACAACCAAGTTAGGCCCCAACTTTTGCGTTCCCCACTATCATTTCATATAGAATGGAAGATATGCAAGCGAAAAGCAACAAGTTGTCAGAAGAAGCATCAAAGATAGGACTTCAGGTGAACATAAAGAAAACAGAGGTGATGAAGATTCCTGGGCAAGAACAACAACAACAGACAACAATCAGCATAAATGGGAGGAACCTGAAAGAAACAACCTCCTTTATCTACATCGTTCCATCTACAGGCGAACGGAACTGACGAAGATGTCAAAGCAAGAATCGGAAAAGCAAGACAAGCTTTCACTACTCTCAAGTCTGCGTGGAGGTCAACAGCACTCAGCATCAAAAATAAGATCCGGATTTTCAACTCCAATGTGAAGTCAGTCAGTGCTACTCACTATACGGATCAGACACCTGCACTGCGCGTCATAAAGAGCATCTCAAACAAACTACAGACCTTCATCAACAGCTGTCTTCGCTCAATACTCAAGATCAGATGACCGGTCAGAAAAGATCAGCAACAGGGATCTCTGGGAGCGAACCAACCAGGAACCGATTGTGCAACGAATAAGTAGGAAGAAATGGAGATGGATTGGCTGGCCATACTCTGAGGAAACCATCAAGTGACATCACTAGACAAGCCATTGCTCGAGTGGAACCCGAAAGGAAAGCAGCGAGTTGGTCGTCAGTGCAAGGGTGACTTGGAGGAGGTCATGCGAAGAGGAGATGAAAACATGTGGGCAGACTTGGAGCCAGGTGAAGACTCTAGCAGAGAACCGAACGCAATGGAGGCGCGTGGCTGAAGCCCTATGTTCCTCTAGGAATTAAAGGAAACAATAATATTAATAATAGAATCAGTTTCAAACAATCTGATAATCTAAGTGCCTATTAATTCTTTGCCGGCAAAATGTCAGTTTGTTCTCAAGACAAGTCACAAACAAGCCTTTAACTGAACTTGCCTTGTAACCAGGAGGTTCTGGGTTCGAACCCCAGTGATTGGGTACTGACGATGATTCTCAAACTAGGATGAAACAACTGTCCAGTACTCCTTGGTTTTCAATAGTTCTTTATCTGATATCAATCCGTGGTCAAACTCGAAAAACACATCGAATCCTTACAAGTCAACTCTTTGAAAATTTAACGAGATGATTAAATAAGATGACTAGTTGACTGTCTTATTTTCTTGAATTCTTTAACAATTACTGAGGCGAACATTTTTATTTAAAGAGATAACATTCTTTTAGTCCAAAAAGGGGGTAAAATACATGCAGACAGTAATCGTTTGGTCTACACACATGAATTTTAAAAAAACATGTTAAAGTCACTGGTGTTGTAAACAGCATAAAGTGTACACTTGATGTTTCTCTCCTTTTGAATTATTCATCCATTCACACACACCTTATGGATACTAAAGTAAGCAGCACTAGTCATCATTATGAACAGGATATTTATCGCTGAAACAAGCAGAAGAAAATGGAGATGGATTGGACACACTCTAATGAGACTGTTGAGTGGCGTCATATATTAGGCAAGCCCTCGAGTGGAAACGGATTGGAAACCAATGAATTGGACATCCGAGAGTAACATGGAGGAGGACGTGTGAGGAGGAAACGAAGGCTTACGGGCAATCGTGTAGTCAGCTGAAGAAGACTGAACAGGATAGAATGAAACTGGGATGTGTTACTGAAGCCCTATGTGCTATTCGGAACCCATATCGTCCTTCTAGGCGAGGACGCTGACAAAATGCAGAGTCTACTGAACACCTTGAGCAACAATCTTCGTATGTTTGGCATGCGATTCGCCCCTGTAAAATGTAAGATGATGCTGCAGGATTGGACTTCACCGACCCCTATATTAGAAATAGGAAGTGAAGTGGTAGAACACGTTGACCACTTCATTTACTTGGGAAGTACCATCAGCCCCAACGGGTTGATCTCCGACGAAATCTCAGCACGAATACAGAGGGCTAGGTTCGCATACGCCAGTTTACGCCGTCTCTGGCGTAGACGTGACATCCGACTATCGACCAAAGGGCGTGTGTACTGCTCAACAGTCCGCTCCGTCCTCCTTTATGGCTGTGAGACATGGCCATTGAGAGCAGAAGACATGAAAAGATTAGCTGTGTTCAACCATAGGTGTCTGCGTTCTATCTCCCGTGTGAAGTGGTATAATAAGGTGAGCAATATTGAGGTTAGGCGTCGAGTGCTAGGTAAGGCGGGGAAATCAATCGACGAGACTGTGAAATTACATTGACTAAGATGGCTGGGACATGTGTTACGTATGCCTAGTCATCGCCTTCCTCGACGGGCAATGTTAGCTGATATAGGGCCAGGCTGGAAAAGAGCTATCGGCGCACATATGTGCAAAGTTCTATGTCGAAAACCGACCGACCGACCGATTCGGAACCCAAGGGAATACTACTAATAATAATATCAACAGGATGAGATGTACGGCTTTACAAAATTGTTTTAACATGTTTTTTTTCCTTCACGTTTCCAGTGGAACATAGGGCCTCAACCTAGTGGCTTGAAGTTTCTGTAGCACTGTTTAATTTTTACAGGATGCGGTTGCTAGCTTCATGCCCAACCTTTCCTCTTTACCAGCATTATTTCTGGCTTAGCGAGGTAAAGGAGAGCGTCTGTGGCCGGCGATCGAACCCCGGACCATGTGCATGGTCGGCGATCGTCCTAACCGCTGTGCCACTGACGCCTGTTTTAACATGTAGTCAAAACCAATAATGCTAATTCACTTCCAGTCAAATAATTGCAGAAATCTTAATTTCTCATTGTGAAGAAATTACAAATGTGAAAAATGGTAACACAGTTTTTATTGGTACAAACGAAAATAACGGAGGTTAGTTAGAACTCTGAAGTTTTATCAAATATTGCTAATGTGATGGAGGCACAACAAAAAATTTATTTTAATTAAAATCTATGTTTACTGTTCACAGCAAAATCATTAACGAAGAATAATAGATCGCATTATTCTGAACATTTTGCACGTTTACGCGAATGACTCACTGTATTTGAGTTAATTTACGTTATATTGTTGCTCAGCTGAACGTATTGATTTTTATAGGTCTATTGTGATTGTAAATTGTGACTTAGACATACTGAAGTGGTGATATCAATGATTCATTACTTCAAAAATATTACATTTACAGAAGTTATTTAAGTGTAAAAAGACATATAAAAGAATTTTACTCGATAAAACACAGTGATACAGAATTATTTCTTTGCTCATGACTCTTCAAGCATAAATTTATTGCTGATAATCATCATATCAGGGTGTCTAGATAACTTTTAAAATTTGTCTACATACTTCCATTATTTCTTATCCATTGACTTAATTGGTTGTAACATTTTCCATATCTGAGGTATTTGCGTCACGACGTCACTCCTATTTCATGTGATAGGTATATATTCGATGGACAAAGATTCTAGTGAGCAACCTCTTCTTCCATTTATTTATATTCCTTTTTAGAACTATGGCTCTGCCTACCCGATTGTGTGACTGGGATTGCTGGGTATCGCTGTAAGTTATTCAACTTCTTATGTAATAATTGACTAGGATTGTACTCAAAATAACGTCAGTAAATAAACTGACAATACTGTATCACTGTGTTTTGTCAAATAAAATTGTTTTCTGGCGGAATTATATTCTACCACAGCGTCTAAATTATATTCTTATAAAAAGAAGACCACATCAGAAGATTCCATCAAAAAGAAATAGCTAATTAGCGGAAACATACTGTAATTCAGTTGTGTTTTTTGGCTGAATGAATACCGATATAAGTCAGAACTGTAACAACTAATGCTGTTATGCGCAGAAATTATTCTGCAATAATATGATCGGTTTTTCAGATAGCTATAAAACTAAATTACCAGCATAACTAAAAATGCTTAGTGACTACACTGACCAAATCCTTCAGTGATTGATTAAAGCGGGAAGTTAAGACATCCACCTTCCACGCCTTTAAAATTCCATAATAGCCGCTATCTTTTCAGCTTACATTTAACGATACAATTTATGGAGATAAATTTTACAAGTGTCATAAGAATTCAACTTTCTTTTTGCTGTTACGAGGTAAGACAGGGGTGTTATGAACAATAATGGACTCCAAAAACACCTCGAAAACAGAAATAAGTGAGATTTTAGGCAAATTCACTAATAATTTCCCACCACAGTTCCCAACAGTATAACCACATTATTCAGTAGGATATAAAACCACTATCAAAAATATGACATAAACTGGGTGCATGAAAGTGACAAAATCACATCATGGAGAATATGGACATAACTTATGGCTATCAAAACCAGTTAAAATGAGACGCTGGTCTTAACATAAACAGAGTACTAAGCACCTTACTGTTACATAACTTGGACTATGCATTAACGTACAACCTCACTACACTAGTCTTCGTCAATAATGCTGAATATTACTAGGGTTGACATTCTCTACTAACCATTGGACACTAAACATAGATGTGTGAAAAGGACGTACGGGTCAATGTAAATCCTTAAACAGATGTGCGGCAGCTTAAGCTGACATATTTCCCACTAGTACAGAACAAATGACATGAAACAGAATAATATGCAAATACACACAGTATGTAAAAAAGGTTAGTGAAACCTCTGAAGTTGGCCGAGTTTATTGATGTCCAGTAGTGTCATAGGCTTTAAATCATTTCATCATGTTTTTACCAACACTCAAAATCCCAAGGATGGAAAGTCAGATTGGATACGACAAGACTCGTGAACTTCATGGACTAAATTCATATCTGTGTAGTCACCGTAAGCTTTTTCCAAGTTTAATTCTACTTTAATTAATATTCCTCGC